CAAAACCTAAGATTATAAAACTTCTAGAAAACCACATAGGAAAAAATCATAGTGAGTTAGGCAAAGAATTCTTATATATGGCACAAAGAGCCTAAATCACAAAAGAACAATGAAATTGATAAACAGAACTCCATCAAATGTAAAAATTCTGTTCTTCAAATTTTTGTTAAGAATATGAAAAAATTAGCCACACAATGGGGAAAATAAGTATAAAACACATATCTAATTAAAGAGCTGGTATCCAAAATATAAAAAGAACTCTCACATCTCAATAATAAGAAAATTAACAACTCAATTTAAAAACTGGAGCAAAGATCTAAAGACATTTTACCACACAAAAAGATACTCGCCATCATTAGTTATTAGGAAAATGCAAAATTAAAGCCACAAGGAGATACCACTACACATGTACTAGAAGAACCAAAATATTTAAAACTGAAATACCACCATCTCACACCTATTACAATGGCTATTACTGGGGGGGGGGGGATAAAATACAAAACACAGAAAGTAACGACTACGGGCAAGGATGCAGAGAAATTAGAACCCTGTGTTCTACAGATAAGAATGTGAAGTGAAGCAGTTGCTATAGCAAACATTGAGGCAGCTCCTGAGATAATTAAAACTGTACTACCACATGATCTAGCAACCCCACTTATGGGTATATGTTTAAAAGAATTGAAAACAGAATCTCAAAGAGATATTTATATACCATATTCAGAGCAACACTGATCACTAAAACCAAGAGATGGAAAAAATCCAAGTGGGTGAATGGATAAGCAAAATGTGCTAGACAAACACAATGGAATATTATTCAGCCTTAAAAAGGAAGGAAATCCTGTCACATGCTACAACATGGATGAAACTTGAGAACATTATACTAAGTAAAATAAACCAGTCACAAAAAGACAAATAGTCTATGATTCACTCAACATGAGGCACCTAGAGTAATCAAATTCATATAGACAGAAAGTAGAACAGTGATTGCCAGAGGTTGGGAAAGGGGGAAAAAGAACTGTTGTTTAATGAGTACAGAGTTTCAGTTTTGTAAGATCCAAAACTTCTGGAGAGAGTTTGCACAATATGAATTTACTTAATGCCACTGAACTGTACATTTTTAAGTGATTAAGATAACAAATATGTGTTTTTTTTCCATCATAATTTTTAAAAACTGATACAGGGGCTGGGTGGTAGCTCAGTGGTAGAGTGCTTGCCTAGCACATGTGAGGCCCTAGGTTCAATCCTCAGCACCACATAAAATAAATGAATAAAATAAAGCTATTAAAGAAAACTGATACATTAAGTGCTGGAAAAGATACAGAGTCACTGAAATTCTCACACCTTACTAGTGGAAATGTGAAATAATAGAGCCACTTTATTTGGGGTTGGGTGTAGGTGGCTTTTTGCTGTTGTTTGTATGTTTTGTTTTATTGGTACTGGGAATTAAACCCAAGGGCACTCCACCACTGAGCTACATCCCCAGTTCTTTTTAATTTTTTAACAATTTTTTTAAATTTATTTTTTAGTTTAACTGGACACAACATCTTTATTTTATTTATTTGTTTTTTTATGTGGTGCTGAGGATGGAACCCAGGGCCTCACATGTGCTAGACGAGCACTCTACCACTGAGCCACAACCTCAGCCCTAATTTTTTTATTTTTATTTTTTAGTTTTCAATGGATCTTTATTTTACTCATTTATATGTGGTGCTGAGAATTGAACCCAGCCTTACACATGCTAGGCAAGCACTCTACCACTGAGCCACAACCCCAACAATTTTTTTTTTTTTGAGACAGGTTCTCTATAAATTGCTGAGATTAGCCTCCCTTTTATTATTTATTTTGAGACAGGGTCCCACTAAGCTACTGAGGGTCTCACTAAATTGCTGAAGCTGGCCTCAAACTCATTATCCTCCTGCCTCAGCTTCCCAAGTAACTGGAATTATAGGTGTGTGCCACCACACCCAGCAATAGTGTCTTTATTAATAATAAAAGGTGGAAAACAATCAAAATGCCCATCAACTGATGAATAGGTAAACAAATTATATACACCCATACCACATTAGTTGGCAATAGAAGGAATGAATAACTGATAAAAGCATGTAATAGGATGAATTATGTCCCGCCCAAAAAAATGTTTCTGGAGAACTTAAATATGTTTAAGTCCTAACCCCAGAACCTGTGAAAGTGATTTTATTTGAAAACAGAAACTTGGCACTGAGCACACCTATAATCCCACAGATTCAGGAGGCTGAAGCAAGAGGATTAAAAATTTGAGGCCAGCCTCAGTCACTTAGGCACACCCTGCCTAAAAATTTTAAAATAAAGCAGAGGTGGGGGCAGGGGATAAAGTATCCCTAGATTCTATTGGAAGAAAGAAAGGAAGGAAGGGAGGGGAAAATAGAACCTTTGTAGATGTAATCAAGTTAAAATGAGGTCATACTGGATTGGTATGAGCCCTAATTTCGTAAGAGAAGGTATCTTTATAAGAGAAGAAAGAGGGAGATTTGCTAACAGACACATACAAATACACACAGAAAGACTCACACACTTTTGACTTCCAAGACAATCTGGAAAAGGCAAAACTACAGATCAGTTGTCCCCAGAGACTGAAGGTTGGGGTGGAAGTCCATTATCAAGGGACAGAAGGGAACTTTCTAGGATGGCAGACAGTTCTGCATCTTGATTATGGTGGTGATTATATGGCATAGAGTTGTAAATTGTAAATTGTAGCCCAAAGAGATTTACGTTAAAAAAATTGGGGAGGGGGATGAACTCTCTTTATTTCACCAGTATGTCAAAATTTTTCTGTTTGGAAGAGAATTCCTATCATGTAAGAATTCCTATTATGTAAGCATTGAAATGAAAATAATTTTAGTTATAGACTAAAATCCATTGAATAAAATAGGAAACCCCCATAAAACCATACTGGGAGATAAATAAATAAGTGTAAATTGAAAGTTTAATGAAGATCAGGAGAATGTATTACCTCACAAAGATGTATCACCTCATTACAAAGGGGAAAAGAGTTACTTTAGAGTGGAGAAGCGTGACAGATTCACCTTAGTTGACAGATCCACCTCAGTTAACAGGACCACTCAAAATCAGGTGCCTACTGGATATAATAACAGAAGCACTCTATGTTATTCCTGCCAAAGAGGCATAATCTGGATCTAATCACAAAGACACGACAGACAAACCCCAACTGAGGGACACTTCGCAAAATAATCTTCAAAAGTGGCAAGGTCACAACAGTCAAAAATAAATTTTTAATGTCAAAAATAAAAGACACAAAACTATTCCAATCAAAGAAGAATACAGACAATAATAACTAAATATCTATGATTCTGAACTAGATCTTCTTAGACCCAGTTATAGAGGACAATACGAGGCTCTTTGGTAAAATCTAAATGAGGTCTGAGGATTAGATGGTAATAATGCATGGCTATTAATATTTTTTGATGGCTATATTTAGTTATATAGGACAACATCCTTGCTTCTAGGATACAACTGAAATATTCTGGAGTTACAGGGCATCACATCAGCAACTTATTCTCAAAGGGAAAATGTTATTAGTACTATACTCTCAATTTTTCTGTAAGTTTACAATTGTTTCAAAGTAAAAAAAAAACAGTACATGGGCTGGGGATGTGGCTCAAGCGGTAGCGCGCTCGCCTGGCATGCGTGCGGCCCGGGTTCGATCCTCAGCACCACATACCAACAAAGATGTTGTGTCCGCCGAGAACTAAAAATAATAAATATTAAAAAATTCTCTCTCTCTCTCCCTCTCTCCTCTCTCACTCTATCTTTAAAAAAAAAAAAAAAAAAAAAACAGTACAGGTTAAGTATTCTTTATACAAAATGCCTGAAACCAGAAGTGTCTAGATTTCAGAACTTTCCAGAATTTAGAATGCAAATATAGATCTAGCCATCCTTAATTCAAAATTCTGAAATCCAAAATGCTCCAAAATACTTCAGATTATCTCTGAAAAAATGAGCGCAGTTTCTACAACAAAGACAGTGTTTTAGAAATGGAAAGGCATCCAAAGGAATCAAGTTTTGCTTCACCTTAAAGGCTGACACCAAATCTTAAATTGTGTGATTAGAATGACAGACTCCTACTTTTTCAGAGACTGAGATATCAGAGTGGGTCCAATTCAGATCTTAACAACAGTACCAGAATACCATTGTCTGAAACATTGATTCCACATTGTTTTGCATGAGGCTCTTGAAGTAAATGATTAAAGCACGTGATGACGCTGCACTAAGCTAGAGGCAATACAGACCACTTATCTATGCCTTAGACCTACCCTGTCCAACAAGGTAGCCATTAGTCACATGAAGATAGGAAAATACGGTTAATCCAGACTGAAAAGTGCTTTAAGTGTAAAGTACACAATAGATTTCAAAGACTTAGTACAAATAAAAGCATGTGAAACATCTCATATTTTTTATGTTGATTACATGTTGAAATGATCATATTTTGGACATATTAGGTTAAACAATTATTCAAATTATTTAAATGATATTAAAATTAATTCTATGGTTTATTTTTCTTTAGTGTGGCTATTAGAAAATTCCAAATGACATCTGTGGTTAATATTATTTTTTATTTTTTTTTAAGATTTTTTTTTTTACCTTTATTTACTTATTTATTTTTATATATGGTACTAAGGATCGAATCCAGGGCCTCGCACGTGCTAGGCAAGCACTCTGTCGCTGAGCCACAACCCCAGCCCCATTATTTTTTATTTTTTTGCAGTGCTAGAGATGAAACCCAGGATCTAGAGCATGTTTGATAGTGCTGTCTTTGGTCATTTGTGAAATAACATTACTTGTACTATAGAAACTACAAAAGAGAATATTGATAGAATTCCAAGAAAAAGACTAAACTGTATATAGGCCCAGTTTATCCTTCGAAATCTAATCTTTTTAGAGATAATCTTTGCCTAAGTTTTTATACTCCATTCAGCGTCAAAAAAGTACATATCTGAAAGTACCTGAAACTCTGAGGCACTGCTCCGCAGCTGGCTCACATTTGGTAAGGATCCTCCATGATACTGTGTAAGGCGCAGTTGCTGAAGCTTCTGAAACTGAACCTGGAAACAAAACAATTTCAAGACTGTTCAGAGATGACAGCAAGCATCAAAATGTGTTATTTTGTAGTGGAAAAGTCCAAGAATGAGTCTTGGTTTCAGTTTCTTCTCTACTTAAATGAAACTCAAGTTTCCGGTGCTTTCTGATATTTGATTACTTCTCCATTTTTGGAAAGAACCTACCCATGATCCAAATATCACATGCCAGGACAGTAAGGTACTCTTGCAAGGTCTTTGAGTGTAGTCATTGAGGCATAATCTTTAACAATAACAAAGAATTTCTTTAAAAAACTAAGCCATTATCTACATCCCTATTCCATGCTCTTTCCCAGTCTCCATTTACATTCATTTGAAGTAACTGCATATTTGGGATCATAAGTACAATTTTGCACCCTTACATTACAAACTTTTCTATGTCAACAGATAATCTTGTTTTTTGTTTTTTTTCTTTTCCTTTTTTGAGGGTATCACTGAACCAATACTCAGCCTTTTTTTTTTTTGAGACAGGGTTTTGCTAAATTGCTGAGGTTGGCTTCCAATTTTCAATCCTCCCACCTCATTATCCCAAGAATCACTAGGATTATAGGCATGCCCCTATATGTGCCTGGCTACATAATCATTTTTTGTAGCCATATAATATTTCTTCTTCTGAATCACTGCCTTAGAAGATATTCCAAAGAGCAATTACTAAATCTCTAGATATGGATTGTTGGTTTTTTTTTTTGGTACTGGGGATTGAACTCAGGGGCACTCAACCCCTGCGCCACATCCCCAGCCCTATTTTGTATTTTATTTAGAGACAGGGTCACACTGAGTTGCTTAGTGTCTCACCGTTGTTGAGACTGGCTTTCAACTTGTGGTCCATTTGCCTCAGCCGCCTGAGCCACTGGGATTACAGGAGTGCACCACCACCACACCTGGCCTGGATTTTTTTTTTTTTTTACTTTTTTTTTTCTTTACTGGTACATTACAGTTATACATAATCATGGGATTTACTATTTACATATTCATTCATGCTCACAATATAATATAATTTACCAATATCACTCCCCAGGATCCCACCCCTGGTTCCCTCCTTGCCTCCCTCTCCTTGGTCCCTTTCCTCTACAGATCTCCTTTTATTTTTATGAAATCTACCCTGAATATGGATTTTTGTGAAGGAGGCCAAGTCAGTAGGTATAAAATGGTACCCCACTGATTTAATAAGCCTTTCTTCTGTAAGTTCTTTCTTATATCTCTTTTCAAAAGGCAGTAAACTAATTACAATTCTTAAAAACCCCAAAGTAGTCCAGTCTGGTCTTATAAATTCTATTTCTAAAGTAATAAATTAGCTCTGTGGTTATATAACCCTTGGTACTTACAATTCATATAGGAAGAAAGAGGTCATAGATGAGAGCCTGAGGCAGATTTTGACTCTTTCATTACAGTTTGTTAATAATAATAAAAACTACCAGATCTGAGCTCCTAGGATGGATGGGTCCTCAGATGCTTTGCCCACTCGTCCCTAACCTTCCCTAAAACCATGCAAGGGAGAGTACATTACTCTGCTTTTTACTGACCTGGGGTCCCAGACTCAAAGAAGTTCAGTGACTTGCTCAAGGTCAAGCCACAGTTACCTCACTCAAAGCTCACATTCCTATTTCGGCCATATTCTTTTCCTTTCTCCCATTTCTCTCAGCAACTTCACTACTTACAGACTCACAAAAAGGCCAGTGAACTAAATGTACTGCTGAGCCTATAAAGCTCTCTGATTTTTAAAAATATTTATCATGAAAAATTTCAAATACATACAAAATAGAGATGAATACAATGAAACCCCACCTGTCCATCTTAAAGCTTCAATGATTATCAAGTTAGGTTCAATCTTATTTCTTCTTTACCCCTTCTATTACCCACTGAAAGAAATCCCAGATAGCTATCGTGGTGGGACACACATGTAATTCCAGCAACTCAGGAGGCTGAGGCAGGAGGATTTAAGTTTGAGGTCAGCCTCAACAACTTAGTGAGAGCCTTTCTCAAAATTAAAAATAAAAAGGACTGGGGGGGCTGGGGATGTGGCTCAAGCGGTAGCACGCTCGCTTGGCATGTGAGTGGCCTGGGTTCGATCCTCAGCACCACATACAAACAAAGACGTTGTGTCTGCCGAAAACTAAAAAATAGATATTAAAAATTCTCTCTCTCTCTCTCTCTCTCTCTTAAAAAAAAAAGGGGGGGGGACTGGGGATATAGCTCAGTGGTAAAGTGCCTGTGTGTTCAATCCCCAGCAGAAAAAAAAAAGAAAGAAATGAAATCTCAGACATTTTATCATTCCATATTTCGATATGTACCTGTTTGGAAATCTTAAAAGCATATAAAATTCTTTGGTATCTTTAACTTCCTTATACCCATAGTATCTGATTTCTCCAACATACGCCAGAGGGAGATAGTTATAATATATTAATCAAAAATCCAGATCTCAGAGTCAAATATGAGAAAGAGGATATGGCAAGCTTTTTACACCTGTGAGCTGAGTTATAAGTCTCTCAGCCTTCAATCTTAACATTCTAAAAGCACTTACCAGAAAATTTGACTCCATCCATCCTTGAAATTCTCCAAACAAAACTCTTAAACACCTTGATCTAAAGCCTTTGATTCCTTCTTCAAAGGATCGATCAATCCATTTATTCACTTGTATAAAAACTTTAACTGTGTGTCAGTAAGTAGAATGCAGGCACTGGCTTACTAAAATGATCATATGCCAAAGTTCCTGCCCTCAGAAAGTTCTCACAAAAGCTTCAACCCTTACCCCAAAACCTCAATGCTTCAACCAAGCTAAATTCTAACTCCAGTTAAGGACCTGCCTTCAACTGAGCTCAAGGCCCTCTCACAGTGCCCCATTCCTGCTCTCCCTCTCAAGGGGCCTATTTCCAGAACCTTCAGAGACTGTTGCCCTATAGTATAAAGAACACTGAATTTGGAATCTAAATACCTGACCTTGTAACCTAGAGCTTTAATGTGGTTAGCCAAATTATTCTGGTGCCTCCTTCATAAAGAATTAAGAGAGAAAAAACATAGCCAGGCACAATGGTGCACACCTATAATCCCAACAGCTCAGGAGGCTGAGGCAGGAGGATCATGAATTCAAAGCCAGCCTAAGCAACTTAGCACGGCCCTAAGCAACCCAGTGAAACCCTGTCTCTAAAAAAAAAAAAAAAAAAATTAAAAAGGGCTTGAGATGTGGCTCAGTGGCTAAGCACCCTGGCTTCAATACCTGGTACCAAAATAAATACATAAATAAATAAATAAATAACATGATATGTAAAGCCCTGGACAACTTCTCAAACCATTATCAGCTACCACTAAAAACTTTGAGTTATATTTATATTTTCCTCTTTTGAAATTTAGAATCATTGAGCTAAAGAAATTTGATTCTGTATTCAACATCTTCATATTCACAGATGATTGAAAATGAAGACTGAAAAATGATTAGCCTAAGATAGAGGTCACAGACTGACAGCCTAGACAGAGTTCTGCTTGAGCCACAAGATGTTAACCCACTCAATGTTTTAAATTTCAATTTTTAAAAAGTAGAAGACTGCATAAAAATCTAGACTTCCAACTTCTCTTGACTGAAAGTTCAAAAACACTGAACCTATATGCTTGCATGGTAACACTAGATAGAGCCCCAAAGTATCAGGTGGCTCAGACAAGGCTTGGGTTCTCYTGTTTGCCCAAATCCAAGGCATACTCTATTATTCCTCCATTATGACCCAGGATAATCTACCATTTATCATCTCATTGCTGGCCCCTCTACTCATTTTCCTTACAGACCTCAGCTTATAACTTGAGTTAGGAACCTATGGTCACATACTTCAGCGGAATTTCTTTAAATACCTATATGAAATGAGACCGATGCCTCCCAAATTCCTTTTTAGAAAAGTCTCACAATAGGGCTGAGGTTGTGGCTCAGCAGTAGAGCTTTCATCTAGCATATTTTGAGGCCCTGAGTTCAATCCTCAGCACCACACAAAAATAAATAAATAAAATAAAGGTATTGTGTCCAACTACTTCTAAAAAATAAATTTAAATAAACAAAATAAAGGTATTGTGTCTAACCAAAAATAAATAAATATTTTTTAAAAAAAAGAAAAGTCTCACAATAGCAACACAATTCCAGTCAAAATCCCAGCAAGAGGGCTAGGGGTAGAACCCAGTGGTAGAGCACATGCTTAGCATGCTTGAGGCCCTGAGTTCAATATCCAGCACCAAGATCAAACAACAACAAAAAGCAAATCTTTTTTATTGAAATTGACGAGATCATTCTAAAATTATAGATGTGCAAATGATCTAACTAAAATAACCAAAGCAATTTTTAAAAAGAACTAAACTGGAGGACAAACTGATTTCAAGACTTACTATAAAGTTACATAAGCAATCCAGAGAGTGTGCTATTATCAAAAAGAGAGATCTATATACCAATGAAACAGAAGAGAGTACAAAAATAGACTCTCACATATATGGCCAACTGATCTTTTACCAAAGTGCCACAGCAACTCAATAGGGACAGAAAAGACTTTTCAACAAATGCTGCTGAAACAACTGAATGTCCTTGTGGGGGACATTTTTGAGTATACTGGCATTCAACATGACAGGCAGATTCAAACCCTAGCTCTGCCATTTACCGGCCATGTAACCTCTCCAAATCTCTACATACTCCTCCACAAAATGAAGGAAATTCTCAATACAGACTAGAGGGTCATTCTCAGGACTACAGGAGATAACACAAAGGGATTAGCCCAGTGCCCACCAAAGAACAGCACTCATATTTAGCCCAAACCTAATCTTTCTAGTCTTCTCTGTCCATTTTTCTCTCAGAGGCCTCACTATTCTATAATATTTTTATGGTTTATTTACTTTAATATAAAAATAATGGTTTTTCCAGCTAGACATGTTAGCCAACACCCGTAATCCCAGTGACTTGGGAGGTAAGGCAGGAGCATCCCAAATTCAAGGCCAATCTGGGCAATTTAGGGAGACCTTGTCTCAAAATAAAATAAAAAGGGCTGGAGGTGTGACTCATTGGCAGAAAGGCTCTGGGTTCCATTCCCAGAACCACAAAATAATGATGATGATGACAACGACAACAACAACAACAATGGTAATGATAATGATGATGATGATGTTTCCCAAATATTCAAACCAAATTAACATTCCATGTTGACGTGCTGAGTTTATCCTGTAGTTTTTTCAACACAAGCTGCCTTTCACAGCCAAACTTCTTGAACAGTTTCCAACCTGTCTCCATTTTCTCCAATCCTCAGAGCCTCACAATGAACTTTCTACCAAGCATCCTGTAAATGCTGTGGCTCTCACCAAAGTTACCAGTGACCTCCACATGACTAGACCAAAAGACATATCCTCCTCATGTCAGTTCAAGTCAGCAGCACTGGGCTCAGCTGGCCCACTTCTCTCTTCTTCACAATAATCCTTCTGGTGTTCCCCACCCCTGCCTCTATGGTTGTCCTTCAGTCTTCTTTGCTGGCTCTTCCTCCTCTACTTCCCCTTTAAATGGTGGGGCTCCTTGGGTTTCTCCTAGGTCCTCTTCTATGTTTTACTTCATAGGAAGGAAACAAATTCAAATGCCTACAGTTGCCAAGTAGAAAAGATAAGCAAGGAAAGAAGTCTGGAATCATGAGGAATATCATAGGGAGTGGCAGGAACTGTGGCAAACTGAAGACCAGATACATGCCCTATCTAAAGGGGCAGCCAATATTTAGCTCCCAGCAATTGCTGCCATGTAGAAATGTGGGGTGTGTCACTAAATGATCTCATTTGTCAAAAGAAGCCAGAGTCTAGATTTTAATGTAAAATCCCAATATTCATTGCTGGTCCTAATAAAAAAAAAAAACACAACACAAAAACAACAACAACAAAAATCCACATTTGGGGCTAAAGAGAATAAAAATAAGAATACATGAGAAAGCCAAAAATAAGATGCAGCAATATCTGTTTTACAAATTCTTCCTAGGCATCTGAATCTCCTGTGGCTACACACCAAAGATCCCCAAATTTGTATGGTTAACCCAGCCTTCCCTCCTGAACCCCAGGACCAGTTAAACAACTGCCTGCTGAACCATCTCCACTTACTGGCCTCTCAGGCACCACAAACTCAATATCCCCTCACAGACCAACCCTGCTGCCAGTGTCCGCTTAATGAAGGACACCCTGAAATGGCTTATGCCTAAGGCTAGGAATCACTCTTGAACCCTCCTTTCTTACTTCTCCCATTCGTTCACCAAATCTGGTCCTTCGTACTTCCTAAGCATCAATCTGTTCCCCTCTCTACCTTCTCATCACTACTACCTTAGTGGATGCTACCAACACATCTCCTAGATAAATATGGTAGTTTCTCTGCAGCTACCTCTTCCTTGATTCTAGCCACCATTGTGGAGTTAGAAGGATCTTTTGAAAATGTAAATCTCCCTTGTTTCACCTCTTCAATGACCTCCCATTGTCCTTAGGATCAACTCCCAAATCCCATTTCTACAATCTGATCCCTGAGAAGTCTCCAGTCCCATCTGAAATCACCCTCCTCATTCCCCTGATGAACCTCCATTCTCTGTGCCTGCAACACTCCCTCCCTTAACACATACACCTTTGAATGCCTTCCCCATGCCCTCTGATCCTTCAGACCATCAGAAGAGGTGAGGACTCCCATACCATACAAGCCCAGAGTTCTATCTACTTCCATTTGTGTATCATTTGTCAAAATGTGGCCTTTTTTGTTAAATGTCTTCCCCACTAGATCCTAAAATATATATCCCCAATGACCATTATAATCTCTGGAACATACTAGGGACTCAGTATTTGTTGAACAAACTAATAAGATCTTTAAAGGGAAGCACCATGTCTTTACCCCCTACACACACACACACACACACACACACATTAACTACATAATTATTACTCAAATGCTAACAAATAAATACATTAATGAATGAACAACACGATAAATAGTCTTTCCCCTGACATACCTGCCTCCACTTCCTTCCCATCCCAAGTACCATCTTGGAACGAATCCTCCTACCACTCCCTTCTCAAAAATCTCCCAATATATCCTGATAAGGCTGAACCTCTAAAGCTAGAATAGAAAAAATAATAATAATCTAGTTCATCCCACCTACTTGGAGAACAGGATTTAAGACCAACTCTGAAGGGATCGGCTATGATTATAAGAAGACAAACTTGAAGTCCAACACAAGCTCAGAGTAGAAATTAGAGTATTTAGATCAATTAGTGATGCTATCCCCCTGATTACTGTGCCTGACATGGGTTAATAATAGAAAGTCAGGATATTGCCAACCAATTTATGAACTAGATAGATTCTTTTCTAGTTAGCATCTTTGGAGTTTTGGATGTTACAGATACATGCTTGGGGACCTGAGTTTTCTATAAGAAGTATTTCAGTTTTGTGATTTCTTTATGAAAATAACCCTTAAAAATTTTTAAATCAGCAAAAATTAGTAGGCAAATTCAATGTAATCATTTGCATGTTTATGAATATAATGGATTCAACTACTAGTATTTTTCCTGCATTGGTGATCGAAAAAAAACAAGAAGAATTAACATGTAAATGACTCTCTGTACTGAACAAAGGGCAAAGTAGCATCATAATTAGAATAAAGTAGTGACTGAATTATCACATGGGTCATAGTTATTTTCGAGTGCTAAATTCACAATATTCACACTGATAGCTTCAATTCAGTATAGCAAAGTAGCTTTCGTCACATTAATGTTAATTTGGATTTACTGCATTTGTAACTTTGAACTTATTTTGTACACACATATTTTGGTTTATGGATGCTCACAGCTATAAGCAAAGAATTTTATATATAAGTTTATGCTTGAACATACAGGAGTAATATAATCAAACTAATTTAAGTTAACACTGAGGATCTGTGGAAAAAAATTTTGCCTTTAGGAGTTTGAGCCAGGCCAGGCACCATGATACATGCCTGTAATTTCAAGAAATTGGGAGGCTAAAGCAGGAGGCTTGCCAGTTTGAGGCCAGCCTCAGCAATTTAGCAGGAATCTAAGCAACTTAGTGAAATCATTTCTCAAAAAACAAAAAAGGGCTGGAGATGTAGTTCAGTGGTAAAGGGCCCCTGGGTTCAATCCCTAGTACTAAAAAACAAGAGTCTGAACCAGGCTCATGGATACATACTATACTCCCACCCAGTTACTAGGGAGGCAGAGACAGGAGGATCATAAGTTTGAGGCCCATCTGGGCAACTCAGTGAGACCCAGTCTCAAAATAAAACTAAAAAAACGATAGGGATGTATCTCTAGGTAGAGTGTTTGCCTAGCGTATGTGTGAGGGCCTGGTTCAATCCCTAGTTCTGCAAAAATAAAAAAAAAAAGGAAAGTCTATATATTACTCATGACCTCACCGATGAGAGGGGATTTATGAATTGGGTGGGAGATTGGTTTCAGACATGCACATTGCATGTATTTGTACATAAACAATATAAATATCTATATAACACATAACAGCACAGACTTCAGTCTTAATCTACCCAGTTTTTTCAATCTGCTCCAAGTTTGTCAAACATATCCCCCAATCTAACCAAGGTCACAAATGTAAATGCCTATGGATACCAGAAACCATAATGAATGAAGCTGATCAGGGCATAAGAAAAAAATTTCTTGAAATACTGGGCCTTCTCTATCCATAGATAGATAGAAGCTAGAGATATACATTATTATTTTTTTCAGTGTGATAGAAACGTAAGTACAGAAAATATTTTACTTTCCTCTTAACTTCACTAAAACACTATAATAAATATGATAAATGGCCTCAGCATGGGGGACCTGCTTGGGGGACTGAAACAGGGAATGTTGTGAATTATAACAAAACTAGGGTTCATGCTCCATTTGAGAGAAAAAACCACCACCCAGCAGGGTACTGTCACAGGAGAATTCAGGATTAGTGTTATCAGCTCTTCCAAACTTTAATAGAAATAAATAAGTAAATTTAGATTTTATGTGGAAATCTCCCAATGAAAAAAAATCTGGCAACAAATTCAAAGTTTTCCCAAACGCTACGCTGACCAAAAAAAAGTAACTGTTCAGCCAAGAGAGCAGGAGACCACCAGTTTGCAACTCTGCTGGCAGTTCTGCTTTGGACTCCCCACTTCACCCCCGGCCCTCAGCATCTACACATTCTCCCTGTGGTCCTTCAAGGTCAGCACTCAGGATCCTCAAGGCCTGCACCGCCCATGCTGACCCTCTTCTGCGAGTCGCGCTGGCACTCCTGTTGGCTCTCCATCTTCCTCTGCTGCAATCCGGTCATCTAACCTTGCCAGGTGTTAGTCCTTGCTAGAGCCTTACTTATTCCTCTGGGTGCCTGTCATTCATCAGCCACTCTGTGCACCTTGTCAGTCCACACTAAATATCTAGTGCTGAACAAAGCAAACTGGATCTAATAAAATACCTTCAAAGCAAAGGAGGAAAGTCACAAACTCGACAGACTCACATCGTGGTACCAAGACCCCACGCCACCACGGGGTGGGCCCTGGATTTACTGCTGTGTGCACCAAGCTCCCCTGATGGAGCGTGTGGGACCCTTGGGCCCCGCGGCCTTCCACGCCACAGTCCAGGAGGGCTGGCTGTGGTGGGTGACCAAGCAGTGWGAAGCCCCACTGCCCCGGCTCCGTCCGGCCTCCGCGCCTTTTGCGATTTCCTCTCGGCGCTCCAGGTCACCCTCCGGTTCAGGCAGTCCTCACACCGCCGCCGGCCTCCGCGGAGCCGGCCCCTTCTCCGACCCCCGCACCCAGCCGGGCGACCCTCCCACCTCCTCGGAGATGGCAAATGGCAAGCGGGTGTCGGAAGGCTGGGTAGCGCCGAGGCCGCGGCCGCCCCGGCGCGGCCCCCGCGCGGCCCCGCAGTCGTCTCAGCCTCTCGACCTCTCACCCGCCGCGCGGGTCCCGCCCGCGCCCGCTTTGCTGCGCCGCCGGGGCCTCACCCGCGACAGGGTGAGGTCGGTCATGAGCTGCTCGAAGGCCCGCGTCTCCTCGGCCTGCCGCTGCGTGTGCAACGCGATCTTCTCACTGAACTTCCGCGGGTTGGCGCTGCCCGAGCCCGGCGAGGCGGCCATGGCGCGGGCCCCGCGCTGGCAGGAGGCGAGACGGCAGGCGCGGGCCTGCGTCTCGACCCACCCGTCCGTCCGCAGGCCGCCCAAGCCGCCGCCCGAAGCCCGTCGTCCGGCGCGACCCGGCAGAGGAGCCGCCGCGGCCCCGGAGCCAGCGAGCCGCAGCGAGCGCACTGAGGCCCGCCCCGCGCCGGGCCCCGCCCCGCCCTGCCCTCGGCGCGCCCGGCCTCCCGCCGCCCGCCTGCCTCCCGCCTCCGGCCGGGCCGCGCGCCGGCAGCCCGGCCCTGCGCGGGCGGACCGAGGGCCTCGCGGGCGCTCTGGAGCCTGGCTCGGGACCCGCAGCCTCCGGAGAGCGGAGCAGAAGGGAGCCGGTGTGCGGCAGCCGCTGGGGACCACTCCGCTGCCACTCCCCAGCCTCAGGGATGGCCCTTGGATTGACGTCCCTCGTTTAGAAGAGTTTTGTCAGTACCCCACCCTCCTCGGGCGACCCTGATTTAACTTCACGGGTGAAACTTGGGCGACCTAACAACCTTGAATGAGCCTTTTCCTCAACCCTCTCGTTGGGGGCGCGCTGAATCAGCGCGGGGCCTAATGTCTACCGCCGGTCCTCCTCCTGTGCCCTCTTCCCTCCGTGTTTCCCTGGAAGGCCGCCTTGGAGCAGGAGCCACCCCACCACCAAATCTTCCCCAACCTGGATCTCACTTTTGCACAAACACCCTCCAGCCTGGTGCAACCCTTTCCATCCGCAGCCCTGGCCCATTTCCCAGGCTCTTTCCCAAGTGACCCTATGGCCTCTCCAAACCCCAGCTTCTGCAGCATGCCAACCCCACTTTTAAAAACCAGCCCAGAGGCCTCAGCTGATTTCCCCTTCTTCAGTACAGAAACTGCTCTCATAAATGTTGATGTGTATAAAAATGACCTTGCGGGGGGCAGGGGAGGGGGGGATGTGGTCGTGGCTCAGAGGTAGAGCGCTTGCCTAGCATGCATGAGGCACTGGGTTCGATCCTCAACACCATATAAATATAAAATAAAGATATTGTGCCCACCTATAACTAAAAAAATAAATATTAAAAAAAATGACCATGGGGGGCTGGGGATGTGGCTCAAGCGGTAACGCACTCGCCTGGCATGCGCGGGGCACTGGGTTCGATCCTCAGCACCACATAAAAATAAAATAAAGATGTTGTGTCAACCGAAAACTAAAAAATAAATATTAAAAAATTCTCTCTCTCTTTAAAAAAAAATGACCTTGGGAGCCCTGACTGTGTGTCTGAGTTTTGTAAATTAGGAAGGATTAGAGACATGCAAAAGAGTACAAAAATACACATCTCTGTCACAATTAAATAGATATCAGCCCGGCTTGGTGGCTGTAATGTCAGTGATTGGGGGAGGCTGAGGCAGGAAGAACCAAAATTCGATACTAGCCTCTGAGCTGAGTCCCTGTCTCAAAATAAAAAATAAAAAAAAGGGCTGGGGATGTAGCTCAGTAAAGTTCCCTGGGTTAAATCGTCAGTACCAAAAATATAACAATAATAATAAATAAACAGACATCAAAACATTTTGCAAGGGCTGAGGATGCAGCTCAGTGATAGAGCGGAGGCCCTAGATGTCAGCCAGACACATCAACAAATAAAAATTAAAGCCAGTAAAATCCTTTAATCTCAGCAACAAGGGAGGCTGAGGCAGGAGGATGGCAAGTTTGAGACTGAGAAATTAAAAAGACAGGGGATGGAGTTCAGTGGTAAAGTGCCCCTGGGTTCAATCCCCAGTACAGCAAAAATTAACTAATTAATTAATTTTAAAAATTAAAATTAAGGACAGGCCTGTATCTTAGTGGTAGAGGCTTGCCTAATATCCCAACGCCCTGGATTGATCCCCAGCAGTGCAAAAAATAATAATTTAGGGGCTGGGATTGTGGCTCAGCGGTAGAGTGCTCGCCTAGCACTAGTGGAAGGAGGTTCCATTCTCAGCATCACATAAAAATAAAGGCATTGTGTTGTATCCATCTTCACCTAAAAATAAATAAATAAATAATTTTTTTTTTTTAATTTAAGCCTGGGGCAGTGGTGCTCCCCTGTAATCCCAGCAACTCAGGAGGCTGAGGCAGGAGAATTGCATATTCCATGACAGCCTCAGAACATATTAAGGCCCTAAGCAATTTAAAGAGACCCCGGCTCAAAATAAATAAAAAGGGCTGGGATGTGTGGCTCAGTGGTTAAGCACCTCTGGATTCAATCCCTGGCACACACACACACACACACACAAAAAAAWAATAATAATAATAATAATTAATTAAAAAGGCATTTTTCCAGGGCTGGCATTGTAGCTCAGTGGTACAGCGCTTGACTAGCATGTGTGAGGCACTGGGTTTGATCCACAGCACCACATTAAAAAAAAATAATAATAATATATATATATATATATATATATATATATATATATATGTATGTATATATACACACACACACACAGCATTTTGCCACATAAACTTGGATTTATTTATTTTTTAAATATTTTTATTTTATTTACTTATTTATTTATATGTGGTGCTGAGGATTGAAACCAGCACCTTGAACATACTAGGCAAGTGCTTTACAGCTGAGCCACAACTCCAGCCCATAAACTTGGATTTATAAAGACACTAAAATTAAACATAACTAAAGCTCTACCCTTTCCTTCTTCTCCAGAGGCTTGCTGTGCTCAAGTTGATATATATCACTACTGTTCTTGTTTTTATGCTTTTGGCTCTAATAACTACATATAGAATACCAAATTTTGTTTTAAATTTTAACAAAAAATTATGCTGAATAATCTTTTCACAACTTTATCATTTACTGGTTTTCTTTGTGAGGGTGGAGAATAGGAGAAGAGAAGGAGGTATTGTAGAATGAGCCCAGGGACTCACACATGCTAGGCAATCATTCTACCACTGGGTTACATCCCAGTCCTTTTTATTTTGAGGCAGGGCCTACCTAAATTCCAAGCCTGACCTGGAACTTGTGGTCCTCCTACCTCACCCTCCCCATTCACTGGGATTACCCCATGTGCCACCATACCTAGCTCCTAAATTTAGTTTTTATTCAAGTAAATACATGTGAATTATTTAAAACAATTGTACAGGCTTAAAATTTTTATAAAAGAGCTAGGCATGGTAACATGGGCCTGTAATCCCAGCTACTTGGGAAACTGAAGCAGAAGGATTGCTTTGGGGCCAGTCTTGGCAATTTATCAAGGCCCTATCTTAAAATAAAAAATAAGGGCTGGAGTTGTGGCTCAGTGGTAGAGGACTTGCCAGGCAAATATGAGGCCCTGGGTTCTATCCTCTGCACGGCATATAAATAAATAAATAAAAAGATCCATTTACAACTAAAAAATATTTTAAAAATAAAAAATAAAAAGGATGGGGAATCTAGCTCAATGGTAGATTCAAGCCCCAGTACTAGGGGGAAAAGAAGAAAGAAAGAATGAACCAACAACAAAAAATAAATAAATAAAAGAGGTGATATCTTGAGACTTAGTGTGTGCACAGATGTTGTTTATGTGTGTGTGGTGTGTACATACCACATTTTTTTATTTTGTTGTTTCTTCTTAGTTATACATGACAGAATCCATTTTGATAAAATTATACAAGCATGGGATATATCTTATTCTAATTGGAACCCCATTCTTATAGGTGGGCACAATGGTGGGATTCACTTAGATATGTTAATATATGTACATAGAAAAATTATGTTGGATTTATTTGATTGTCTTTCCTATTCCTATCCCCTCTCCCATTCATTCTCCTTTGTCTATTCTCCCCCCMCACACACTTTATTGCAGTTTAGCTTCTACATATCAGCAAAACATTTGACCTTTGTTTTTTTTTTTTTTTTTGAGATTGGTTTATTTCAGTTAGCATGATATTGTCCAGATCTATCCATATACTAGCAAATTTCATAAAATCATTCTTCTTTATAGCTAAATAATATTCCATTTTGCACATAATCACAGTTTATTCATTCATCTATTGAAGAACATCTAGGTTGGTTCTATAGCTTAGCTGTTGTGAATTGAGCTACTATGAACATTAATGTGGCTCTGTCACTGAAGTTTGCTGATTTAAAATTCTTTGGATATATACCAAGGAATAGAATAACTGGGTCAAATGGTGGTTCCAGTACTAATTTTTTTTTTTTTTTGGAGGGATCTCCATACTACTTTCCAGTGGGATTGCACCAATGTGCAGTCCCACCAGCAATGTATGAGTGTTCTTTTTTCCCCATATCCTCACCAACATTTGTTCTTACTTGTTTTCTTGATAATTGCCATTCTTATTGGAGTGAGATGAAATCTCAGTGCAGGTTTAATTTGCATTTCTCTAATTGCTAGAGATGTAGAACATTTTTTTATATATTTGTTGTCCAATTGTATTTCTTCTTCTGTGATGGGTCTATTCAGTTTCTTTGTCCATTTATTGATTCAATTGTTTGATTTTTTTGGTATTAAGCTTTTTGAGTTCTTTGTTCACCCTATCTAAATTGCAGGTGGCAAAGATTTTTCTCCCATTCTGTAGTTCTCTCTTCATGCTCTTGATTATTTCTTTTTTAAAGTTTTTTTAGTTATAATATGTGAAAAACCTTTATTTTATTTTATTTTATTTTTATGTAGTGCTGAGGATCCAACCCAGTGTGTCATACATGCTAGACAAGCACTCTACCACTAAGCTACAACTCAGCCCCTTGATTATTTCTTTTGCTATAAGGAAGCTTTTTAGGGGTTGGGGATGTGGCTCAGGTGGGAGCGCGTTTGCCTGGCATGTGTGCAGCCCGGGTTCGACCCTCAGCACCACATACAAACAAGGATGTTGTGTTTGCTGAAGACTGAAAAAAAAAAAAAAAAGCTTTTTAGTTTGATGCCATACCATTTATTGATTTTTTTATTTTATTTTTTGTGCTTCAGGAGTTTTGTTCAGGAACTCAGTGCCTGAAGTTGAAGTGTTGGTCCTACCTTTTCTTCTAGTAAGTGCAGGGTTTCTGGTTTAACTTCTAGGTCTTTGGTCCGTTGAAGAGTTGATTTTTGTGCAGGGTGAGAGATATGGTTTAACTTTTATTCTATTACATATGGATTTCCAGTTTTC